GACAAGAATTTCAATGTTTCGATTGAATTCACATCGGAGAATGAATATTCATCATAATAACCGATGCAATTTGGTCGAAACATAGAGAAACATTTTCTTATTTCTCGTGCTTCCAAAACCATAGAATCAGAAGACCTATCACTTTCAAACCATCTACGCCACCACATCGGGGTGATCATCAGAAAATAATAACACAATATGTTTATTGCGTTACTTTTATTTATTGATACTTTCACCATGTTGTTTAACGAAGCAGATTAATCCGTATGGGTGATCGCTAAAAATTCAAACAAGATCAGCCAGATCAAAAGATGCCAAACAAACTGTTTCGTAAAGTACTACATCGCGGTGCAGGTGGTTCTCATTTCAGAATTTCAGACCGATTGCGATCCTTCAAGTTTAAATTTCATCTCACGGCCAAACAAGATTAAAATCAGTTTCTTTGGGTGTTATTTTTTACCCTAGAACGCTTTTCAAGTTCGAATCAACTGGTTAAACATGCATTTTACGCGTTTAGTCAAATTTTCAAACATTTGTTGCGGTTTCATATCGCTAATTACCACTTCACGGCAAATTTTCTTTGGTTTTCACGCGTATATTTCCATTCTCCGTTCTCTACTCGTTGCACATTCTTGGCAGAGAGCCGAATCAACGGAGGGTACCTTGAAGTACTTTTTGCCGACACCACAAATCGACCAGAACATTCGCATTTATACACACTTCAACTGTTGTTGGTGTCTCTTCACTCGGCAGTCAATCATTTCACTCCGCACGGAAACGCCCGTCTTTCTATCGTTCTGTATACAATTTATTTTTATCTGATTGGCACCTTCTCATTACACAGTACACCCTTCTCCATAATTCATTCGCAGCATTCTTTTTTTCAAACGATTTCTTAGTTCACTATGGATTCAGCACGGCGGAACCAAGATTACTAGAATCGGTGTTGTTTGAGATAGTGTACTGCAGGCTACTATAACCGATTCGTCGTCAGCCTTTTATCTGAAATAACCGACCATTTATTCTGACTTAACGTTCGTTAAGTCAAAGGCCGTTCTTCTCAACGACTGACCTCCACGCGCCAGTTTTTGCATCCACCATGTTTTTGTCTGTTTTCACTGTTCAACACAACGTCAACAGCATACGAAGCAGTTTCCTGCACATCTTTAACTATGGTATCTGTAGCCGTTAACAACAGAAATCGGTTCAGTGTGAAAACCATATGGTGCCATACTAGGAAAGAAAGTTTTTCGCACGTGTGTTTTGTAAACCTAACACGATTTTCTGGTACCAGGTTTTTCAAATGATCATCCAAGTAGTCTTCGGTGAAAATCGATCAAAATCGTTCTGCAGCTTTTCTACAAATATCATATGAATGTCATTGCTGTTTTGTCTGCAAAATCATTA